GAATAATTGTTTAAACATTTGTTTAACAACAAGTAAAAACTTGGAATGGTCTATTCTTTCATGTGAGTATAAAACACTTAAATATACCAGTTCGATTTTCAATACCTCACTACTATAAAGGCTTGGTTTGGTCTAATATTTCATTGGTGGTAGTGTCCAGGATCACTGATGAGGAGTGGAATTCTCGGAAACTAGTCTGGCGCACAGACACACCCCCAATGAAAGAATAGACCATTTTAAGCTTTTACTTGTTGTTAAACAAATGTTTAAACAACTCTATTCAAAAACAAAAGTATGTTGTAATCTCTAAAAGTATACTTTCAGTCATATATGTTATATGTATGATTAATATGGCAGGGATAAATAAATACATAAAAAACTATACTAAGGAGTGATAAAAACTTGAAAATTAATACACATGATCTTTGTGAACATCCTCATAGCTTGAATTAAAAACTTTGCAATTTTTCTGCAAAGTTAACAATCTATGGGCAATTAATTAATGCCTTTGTTAGTGATAATTAGACTTTTACCAAGACAATTGGTAGAGATTTTTGAATTTTAAAAAATTCAAGCTATGGAAGAGTGTAACATCAACAAGTTTGCTAAGTTTCATGCTGATATTAGCTTTAATAGTGAAGTGGAAATGGAATGAAAACAAACTAGACTTTTATTTATAATCATTTACTACGGGTTGATTAGTAAATATTTTCAGATACAAATAAGATATCAACTTTAATGGTGAAGCTATTGTGCTAATAAATTGGTGACCCCAGTGAAAAACGTTTTGAGAAAATAGCTGTTAAGACAAAAATTATTTGTTTATGTAGAAAAGAGGTTAAACTTTCAATTTAGGCTAAATGTGAAAAATGTGATTTTTGAAATATTGGTGATGCTTCTTAAGGGTCAGTGCTACCTCAGACCTAGAATGCAAGTGTAGTTAGTTTAGTATACAAGAGGTAACTTGTATGGGTCATAGTGACCCTATGCTGGAATTCTACAATTAAATATTATATGGATGATAACATTCACCAGAACCCAAATAAATACTTTGTGACAGGCTCAAAGTTCCAACATAAATTTCCATGACAGGGTAACCAAAAAGCTTCAGCATATAGACCAAAATATCATTTGTTCAAGAATCAATGGAGTAGTGCATTAGATATTTCAACCCTACCCTCTCTATGCTGCTTACAAAATCAATGAAACAAAAAATCCTTGATTTACTGGAAAAACAAAGAAAGTTTAAAACACTAAAACATAATTTATACAATAGATTCAAAATCCAAAACAAAGATTTGCTTCTGAGCATTAAAAATCACCAACAAACTACTTCAATGCATTCAAAAATCAACCCCTAAGTCTAATATCAACCCTTAAGTTTAATATCAAGCCTTAAGTCTAATATCAAGCCTTAAGTCTAATATCAAACCTTAAGGCTAATATCAACCATTAAGGCTAATATCCTACACTATGTAACAGTCTTACGAAGGTAAAATCCCTCACTTCCCAGTCCTTTATCTCAAAGAACGTGGTTTATAGCATTCAGTGCAGGTGTAATAAACAACACATTAAGGAAACAACTTCTGTTACAGGTAAGGTTCAAAGAACACCAAAGAGATATTAAGAACTGTGTTATAAACACATCAGCTATAACTTTTCACATTCAGGAAAACAATCATATAGTAGACATAAAAATGCAAAAATAACAGACAGGGAAGAAAACACCAAACTGAGAAAAATCAAAGAAGCTATTGCCATCCAAGCACAAGACAGTGTACTACGAGTGGGTATTAATCAAAACAACAGCCAACAACTACTCAATGCATTAACACCACTTACAAAAAACATAAAACATTATTTGTCATGATTTCATTATAAAATTAAACCTTTAATTTTACAATGTATTATGAAAAATTGATTTATTTTTATTACTCTGTATAATACTTATTATGGTATTTCCTTAAGTTTATTATATTGAAGTCATTGATTTACATTCTATATTCATCATAATATCTATACGGTTAACAACTTTAATACCAGATGTCAGTTATTGTTACGAGTGCTGCTTAGATACCTATTTTGAAACAGAGTTCCACAGTTAATAACTTTTTATTGCTCAGCACATTTTAACCTGAAGAGAGCTTCAGTAAAAGGGCTGAAAGCTCATAAGTAAAAGTATTTTAATGTAGAGAAAAGTCTGTGTATAATTCTAAATATTAATTTATCTATGGTACGAGTCTCAAAAAACAATTATAGCATCATTGAGTTGCTTTAAGTAAAACAATTTATTTCTGTGTTGTTTTGTACATATTCCAAGACCAAACTAGCCCTAAAAGAAATATATGTGTGACTTGCCATCTTTCATTTTAGAAATATAAGATATATTTCAATAAGGAGGGTAAGAAAATAATAACAACAAAATATCAAATGATGATCTTTTTACACAAGTAATAAATTATTTTTTTAGGTCTATCATAAAAGTAGAAGTTTGGTTTGAACTAACCAGAGCTTACTTAAAGTCACATAAATTACATCACTTATGTAACTTGAAACAGTAATATCATATCATGCATGGTTCCAGATCAAGCAAACAAAAATTACAGTAGTCAAATTAGACTAAAAACAAAAGACCTCACAAACTGTATGTTATAAAGGTAAACTACACCAGAGAAGTATTTTGTTAGCTTAATATCTGTATGCTTTTTTTATCAAAAATATCATACTGTTCTACTTGGAAGAAAATTTAAAATTTCTTAACCACAATTTTTGATGTGGATAATAAAAATAAAAGAAGTACATGTGAAAGCTGCAACCATTATAAAATTTTCAAACGTTTTAATTTATCTGACAAAAATATAAAACTGTTTCCTTTATGAGTTAAATTTAAAATTTAAATCCCCTTCTATAATATTTTGAAAAGATATTTACAAAAATCGAAACTGCAAATCTGGTACTGAAGATTTTTACATGATTATACAAGATATTTTGTATAGCCTTACTTAATGTTTTAGAAATTTCTTCAGCCTGCTGTAGAGTATCAGCAACCTTAAATCGTTGAACTGTTATTCCATTGTCATTCATTAACTGCTTGCTTTGATACTCATGAAGATTTAGTCTCCGTACTGGTACCTGGCAGGATGGAATCTTTACACAGTAAAGAAAAATAAAATATACAGTATTTTAGAAATCTTTAAGAAATTCAAAATGATCTCTAATCTATGTTTCTTCAAGACAACAGAAATGTACATACTCATCTAATTTAAATTTATCACCAAATAATTGGTACAAGGTAGTTTCATCAACAGTTAAATAGCACTTAAAATATATAATATCGATACATTAAATACTCTTCAAATATAACATTTGAACTTGCTTAACCTGACTAAACAAATATCTATAAATATAACAGTACTGTCTGTTGTTTGTCCATGTAACTACTTCACGTGGTGTGAAAGGATCTTCACCAAAATTGGTATGGAAGTTCATTATGTCCATGCAGGGGTACATACAAATTTTCAGTTTTGCATTTTGTGGTCTTTATGGGCATGGATGCATTTTTTATCACTACTTCATCCCTCTGTAGATGGATCTTCATGAAATTTGGCATGAAAATTTGTTGGGTCCATGGGGAGATACATGCAAACTTTCAGTTTCACATTTTGTGTGTTGCATTTTCTATAATTACATATAAGAGAAGCAACTTTCCATGTTCTAAGATAATCATGAATTTAAATAACTTCCATCCAGGGGATGGGTACTCCAGCTAATATAACATATGTCCCCCCCCCCCTCATCACAAATGTTCCCTAATCATGTAAAAAAAGGCCTGGCTTTACTAATAACTTTGTGTACAAAGCAGAAGTTCTGGTATTTTTTGTTTTAGTTATACATGTATGCTATGTGAATTACACATTTCCACTTCTCCACTTAAAACCTACTGACTTTGTATTCATGAGCATTCAGTATTACTGGAATATTATCATGTGTGTCTTATAAAATTTAAACTATAAATGTCCACTTACCAGATATAGGTCATAAATTCAAACTGAAAAGGAACTTGATGCTTTATTTTGAGTAAATGACAAAGGAGAATCTTAAAATAGTAAACATTTCACATATATTTGTACTGGAGTCAACAACATGACAAAAAGAGAAAAACATATGGTAATAAGCTTTGCTTTTGATATCTAAAATAGCTTTACACCTACCGTTAACATGTGAACATTTTATTTCATTGGGAGGGGGTATAACCACAAGCAGTTACTTGTACTATGGAAGGAATGGGAGGTTAACTTTTGATCATGTATTAACTGCTGACTACTATACACTACTATTAGTATTACTTAGTAACACTACATTTTAACTATGAAAGTTTGATGCTGTTTTAGAAATGTTTTCTTCTCGTAATAAATGATGCATTTTTTTTAATTATGGCAAACTGTAAATACGAATATATTTAACATTCATCATATACACAACCTAATAAATGTAATTTACACACCAAAAAATTAAAAAGTATTGACACTGCTGTGCTCAATAGGTTAATTAGTTAATGTTGATCTTAGTTGTTGTTACTGAATTATTTATGAGATGTATCATAGTAATTTTTAATACTTTTGGGGTTTGAGTTGAATAACGTATTGAGTAGTGTTGGTACCGAATCACCTGTTACTGTTACCGAAACTCACGAGCCTTCACATTACAAAATTTATAATTTTCATGGCTTTAGGCATTGAATATATTAATTATTATCCTGTATGCGCATGCACACGTGTACCAGTGAAAGATTACTACACCTACTCTGAAATGTTAAACAATTGTAGCTAAACTAAAATATATATTACCATAAATTGTTGTAACGAACTGTAACAATCATGCAAATTACACACACCTGCTTCCTAAGAAACTGAAAAGCTCCTCGGCTAATCTTCAAACTCGTAGTTCTGGTTAAAGCAGCCATATTGAATACACTTGATTCGCTGATTGAATGTTGCCTTCAGATTCACAACTGTTATTAAACAATCGAAAGTATTAATAAACAGGCTAAAAACGCACCTTTATAGAAATATGGTGAAATTTGTTAATTTTTAGAAGATACCAATCATATTCACAATATTTACGTTCCAGATTATAAGATTAATATTTGTAATATAATTTGTCTTGAATAAAGTTGACACCTTAAGTTCAAGGCTTAAATGAACTTTGGTAAACATGCATAATCATAAAGTCACAACTAGCTTCCGGAATACCATCACTAGCTCAGTAGCAGTTGTTGAAAATATTAACACTTGTACAAAATAGTTTGTTAAAAGCTTTAATATAAATACAGTGACACAATAGTCACTATTATATTGTTTCTTCGTCTCGAACAAAGTATCATAGATGTTTTGTGTGTGTCACAATACTAAATATTATATAAAAAATCACGCGGGATCAAAAATTGTATTACAATAAAATAAAAATTCGAGCGATTTTGAAAGGTGAGTATTCTTTCTTTGCCCCCAGTGGTACAGCGGTATGTCTGCTGACTTACCACGATAGAAACCGGGTTTCGATACCCATGGTGAGCAGAACACAAATAGCCCATTGTGTAGCTTTGTGTATAATTACAAACAAACAATTCTTTCTTTAAGAAACAATGGATGGCTTACAATCCGAAAACTTTTAAGTTATTGGATTTCTTATTTTGTAATATTAAATATGTGATCTTTGTGTAGTCTGAAAAATTAGAAGAAAAAACGATTTATTACCAATAATTGGGTTTTTTAAGATACTGTTTTTCATCACTTTGCTAATAGTCAAGCTGCTTAGCGTTAATTTTTGGGGTTATCGTTACAGGGCGAAAAGAGCACCAAATATTGCCTGTGTTACGTATCTGCTGGTTTGTTAATTTCCGGTAGAAATTCTTTTCGAGGAACTTCAGCTATACAAGTCCATTCTTGATTAAAACAGTTTATTCTTTCTCGATGCTAACTTTTAGTACACAGTAATTCCACAGTCAGTACGTTTCTCGTCACTTTAAACATAACATCTTTTATAATACACGCTACAAATCACAGCGATTCACAATCTCAATAACTTCGCTATCGACGAGTGCAAAACACACACTAGCTCGAAACAGAATCGTAAATTGCCCGAAACTCACTGTGACTACTGTTCGCTTAGCACCACTGGCTTTTCTCGCCAGGCTTATATACTGTTACGACAGCGGTAGTCACGTGACGCTGGTTACACGTCATGATACTCTAGAAGATTCACGAAGAAACGAGATGTACGCTTTTTGTATATATAAGACCACCAAGAAGTGACGACAACAATGAAATTGAATTGCAGACAGAGATAGAGACAGACAATTGAGTCAAGCGCATGTATCGTTCGTTGTGAATAATAGCGTTGGTTTAAGTTATAGCGTGACTGTGGTAATTAAGTGTATTGCAAAGTTGTATTGAGAAAGAATAAACTAGTTTTATTTAAGAAAGGACTTGTATTGCTAAAGTTTCTTTGGAAAGAATTTTTACTGAAAATTAACAAACGAACACAGAGGCATAACAAATTGGTGTCAGAGAGTGAGACAGAAAAGAAAAAAAATGGAAACGAGAAGTAGCAAATCAAACTACAGCTCAGCAGATTTGATGGCAGCAATACAAGAACAAGAAAAGAAACAAGAAGAGAGACCACAGCAGTTGCAAGAAAACCTGCAACAGTGGCAGCTCGAACAGCAAAATAAACAAGAAGAGAGATTACAGCAGTTGTTGGACGAAAAAGAAAAGAAACAAGTAGAAAGAGAAAATAAACAAGAAGAGAGATTACAGCAGCTGTTGGAGGAAAAAGAAAAGAAACAAGAAGAACAAGAAAATAAAGAAGAAGAGAGATTATAGCAGTTGTTGGAAGAAAAAGAAAAGAAGCAAGAAAAGAGATTACAACAGTTGTTGGAGGAAAAAGAAAAGAAACAAGAAGAGAGATTAGAGCAATGGCGAGATAACTTGCAACAGTGGCAGCTTGAACAGCAAAATAAACAAGAGAGATTGCAGCAGTGGTTGGAGGAGAAAGAAAATAAACAAGAAGAGACACTACACCAATGCATTTTAGGATTGGACTATTTACTACCGATGAAGTGTGTTGTTAACTTCGATAAAATGACGTTTGGAAACAACAAAGGCCAGATTCCAGTAACTGTTGCTGCATCCA